GGAGGTCACAGGTGGAAGTGAGTTTCAACCAGCAGGCATTATGAAAATGAATGAACTGCGAAAATGAAGCAGAAATTAAACCTAAATTAAATTAAATCAAAGAGCACTTTATCTCCAGAGGATTGACTCATCTGTTTCTCAGTGACATTTAGAGATTATATACAAAACACAAAGGTAATAAGAAATAGACAAACTGAATGTCCATTATGTCTACATCCTTCACAGATACACTCAGTCATGTTGTTTTTAAATATATATTTTAATTTTCCTCTTTATCCAACAAAGTTGACTCTCTTCACCTGGATGCAGCATTTTCAGTGTGAAACATTTTCCTCCTTGAAGTGACTTCTTCAGCCTTATAAACACTGCAGCTGCATAAAGGACAAAAACATTGGAAGTTATAAAGAGTAAAATCAAAATATTGAATAGAACGGCAAAAGACAGGATGTGTGAAGTGGAGGAGAGTACAGTTAGTAATGTAGCGCCAGCTTGTTGTGGGTATTGTGTGATATGAACAGCAGGGTTTGTCTTGTTTATTTCACAAGGGAGAGCACTGGAGGGGAGATCCATGGGAGTCGCGATGGAGGGGAAACTTCCAGAGGCGGGCCGCTGCTCCGAGAGAGAAAGTTCGCCAATACCCACAGATATGACAGTTTCTGAGAGCGCTACACGTAAGCTGAACTGCTGAGAGTAAATCAGCTGGTTTACAGGAACTCGTGGTTGTTGTGTAAACACACTGTCACTGCTGTAAAATCAGCTGATCAGAGGTTTAAAGTCTCCTGTCAAGTGTGTGATGGACAGTTTTAAGATACTTAAATCTCTGTGTCAAGATGACCTTAATGAATTAAAAAGGTCCATATTGTCATATTCTGTCTCTAATTGTTCTACTTGTTCAACTTAACTTGTGTCCATAAATGACTCTTGTTATTCTTCTTGGTCTAAACCCAGAAAGACTGCTGCTGTGCTCTGTGTTGTTGTCCGATTTGTTTCCAAAGGTAAAGTAAATCCTCACAAAGACAAACTGTGTGAAAATTGATTTATTTCAGACTTATGTATTAATCTGGTGTCAGTGGTTGATGTAAATTATTATAATTTTAAAATGACGCCCTGTATGTT